ATTATCAGCACTCTCTAGCCAAATTCTATAGTGCTCAGAGAGGCAGGCTCAACACAATAATACATCATAAACATATACAAAGAAGACCATGTCACTGCCTTATAAATTGTCTCCGGTGAAACTATTGCAAAATATACTCAGGAGGTGCCGACATTCCTTGTAGAATGTGCCGTCACCACAGGTAACACCAAATCTATAGCCCTATAAGCTGCTTGAATAGTCTTGACTATCCAGAAGCGATGGAACGAAAAGAAGCTTCCTTCCCTCTGCCCCATGAGAAGTCGGAATTCGGAAGTTGTTTGAATGTAGGCCTATAGGGTTTCTCCCACATCCGGCGGATGTGTCAGTTACATCCCCACATCCTTGACCATGGGTAGGGCCAGCTCTTGGTTTAAATGAAACTCACTGTATAAAAATGCAATATAGGTACTAGGACAACCCTGTTGGGGAAAAAACTGAGACTGAGACGAGAGAAGAGGCCTATGTCCAGGCCAAGCGGCAGGAGCTCCAGGACATTCTGGACTAATGCCCAAAACTAAACAACGTTGTTAGGACAGAGCTTCCTAGCACTGATCAATGTCTTGATGACTGAGTAAAACATCCAGCTTCTATTAGTATCTCCCTATCAATACCCAGCCCGTTAATCATACACATGCTGGGCATGGATGGCATGAACAGTTCTGTTTGAAGAGATCTGGACATTGAGGTATCTGCGCTGGGTGCTGTGGACTGAGGTGTGAACAGAAGTGACAACCAAGTCCTCCTTGGCCAAAATGGAATCACTGCTACTATCAAAAACTTTTCCTGGCACCCCCTGGAAGGAAACTTCATGATCATTGGCCACGGAGGGAAGGTGTGAGCTGTTATGAACCTCCATTGCACTGTGAATGCATTGCTTCCAGTTGCCTGGCTGCAAACGCACCTCCTGGATTAGAACTAAGCTAACCGGTCCACCTCTGGTCTGAACCAAATATGGACTCTCTACTGAAAGACATCTGGATGTAAAGACTACTCGTCGATTGCTCTATTGCTGGCCTGGAGAGGAGATCTGCTTGAACATTTTGATTCCCTGGGATGTTCACCGCTGTTATGTTCTGCAGCAGCCCCTGTGCCCATACCATTTACTATTCCACTTCTCCCTTGCTTCATTATATAGTTTGCCGCCATCCTGTTGTCTAACTTGATTTGGACTGACTGGCAAATAAGAAGGTGTTTAAATGCCTTCAGGGTGCAGAATGCCATCCTCAGTTCTAGTACATTGGCAAAAACATTCTTTACCACAGACACCAGTATCCATGACGGGGAAACCTTGCGCAGAAGGCCCCTGCGACTCGCTCTCAGGCCTATCAGAAAAAAACAAACGTTGCGATGCTCCTGTTAGGCCGGAGGAAACACAAATAACTGAGGCATGCTTATGCTAACCACTTTGTATTGGTGTGGATGATGTGTTTCCTGTTTTAGGTGGGAGGAGACTATCTCTCGAATGCTGTCTTGGAAGATGACTTCGGAAAAAAATATTCTTTACCACAGACACCAGTATCCATGACTTGTCTTGACCGGATTTCCAGCTTGTTCCAGTGGCATCTGCCATAATTATGGTCCATGAGGTGGGGAGTACAGAGTGACAATGAAAAAGAAGTCTTTGCGTGTCCACTACCAGAGGCATTGCTGCATGTTCCAGGTGATCTGAATTCTCCAGCACAAATCTGCACATACAGCAGTTACATGCGGCTAGGGACAGATGTCCAACCCCAGACGCAACCTGACCATACCCAGTTCATCTGTCCCTAGCCTCAGGTAACCATTGGATGTGGGAATACATGTGAACATTGGCAGACAGCTGCGGCTCCAGTCAGCCTGTCATTTGCTTTCTGCTGCTGTCTGGAATCACCTGTCATTCCAGCCACAACCCAACTCCAACCAAAATGTTTTATTTCATTTAACATAGGTCAGAGCCTTATCAGGTTGTTTTTGTCGTCTTTGTCCCCATTAGAGAGAGTTCCCCTCACTTCCTGTCAGGACAGGAAGTGAGGGGAAATCTTTCCAACAGGGACCCAGGCAAAACTAAAAACACATTTCCAGTAGAATGGAGGTGGGTTAGAACTAGGGTTGCCACCTTTTCTTCAAGCGAAACACAAACACGTTAGCGACGCGCGGACATTTTTTGGGGAGATTAAGTCACGGCTTAGTCATATGTAAATAGCACCACCCATTCATATGTAAATATCACAGTTGGGACTATTTTCAGTGGGGACCAGTAGCCCCTATCTTCATTTTGGTTGCCCCTGTCTGCCTGAAATCTTGTGTCCGGGTTTCTGCTGCCATGAAATGAGGACACAGCATTCAAACCCCGGACTGTCTGGGTGAATCCTGGACAGGTGGCAACCCTAGTTAGAACCTCTGTTTTTCTTGCTCTTTGTGTCTTTGCCCCATTCACACTTCAACATCAGTGTTTTCAGGAGATTTTGAAGTATGGTTTTGCATGCTTTTTTGTGCGTCTATCAGGCGTGAGCATTTTTGTTTTAGCCAATGGAAACCTAGTGACTAGGAGGAGGAGACAATTGATGCGAATTACCATTGAAGTCTATGAGAGGACAAAAACGTGATTCTGCTTGAAAAAAGCTCAGGTACCCTTTCAGACGACACGATGCTCAGGGGTGAACAAGCACCATTGAAAATAATGGGATTCTTCATGTTGAATGTTGTGTCGTAATGGGAGCTTCCTGTCCTAGTGATAACCGCACCCATTACTTGTGTACTAGCATCACAAGGGCAGGAAGTGAGAAACATTTACCCAATGGGGTCACCAACAGAAAGAAATACCTGAGAGCAATTGTAAGGCCCCGTTCACACTCGTGTTTGGGGGTAGTGTTCTAAATTGCTCTGTGAGACTCATTCAAACAGAACCTGCAGCCATTCATATGTAACTGGATGTGCTGCGATTGCCTGCAGATGATCACCCCTGGGTGCAAGCAGTTTGCATGTCCGCTTACATGTGAATGGCTGCGTGCACTGTCAGCTGTCATTGCTTTGTATGGCGCTTTCACATGAGTCTCATGGTGGGCATAAGGGTCACCATTAGTGATGTGAGGGGGGCTTAGTGTAAACCCAGTTCACGGACGTTCGCCCAATTCCACACAAACTGAGACACACACCCCCCTTTCCCAGCCCAATCAGTTGTGGCCATGGCATTCCTCACAAACTGCATGCAGCTACATGTCACAGAGTGCTGGGGAATGTCCCTTCCAAAACTGATTTTGCACTAAGCCCCCACACATCACTAGTCATCATACACTTTACAACCTGACCCAGAACTATGGGGACCCAGGGCTGGTCCCTAAGGTATTCGCCACCCAAAGCTATGTACTGTCCTTCCAGGGGAGGGGGGTGCTGGCAGGGAATGGTCACTGGTTTAGGGGTGGGGGGTGCATAGGTGCACAGTTAAAAAAATAAGGGGAAGAAGTGGGGCTTTTTAGGTCCTTAGTGACAAAGACCAAAAATTACCACATGATAAAATAAGAGTATTTTATTATACAAAGACATAATTGATACGTGCACATTACAAAACAGAAAAACAGATAGATCTCCAAATAACCATTCCTGAGTTATAATGTGAGGCTAGATGGCCATGACAAACATAATTGATATAACATGTACTCGTCTACAAATGCCTCTTCTTACAGCAGGAATGGTGATTAACTCTCAACGCGTTTTGCACTCCAAGCGCTTCCTCAGGAGATAGAGATCGCTCCCAGAGAGTAATCTGTGCGTGCCTGGCCAGACCAAGAGAGCAAGGGCCCAAGCAAGCCCAAGGACAGAGAGGACCTCCCAATACATGGTTGGGAGAGGGTGATAAGCAGACAATCGTCAAAAGCTGAAGGTTATCAAAAGAGACCCCAAACCTGGGGAGCCACAAAGAGCACAGTCCGCAATCACCTCCGAGGCGCCAGTGTCCACAAGGTTGCAGCTCGACGGCTGCTTCCTTGTGGACACTGACGGCTCGGAGGTGATTGCGGACTGTGCTCTTGCTTGGGCCCTTGCTCTGCTGCTCTGGCCGGGCGAGCACGGATTACTCTCTGGGAGCGATCTCCTCTATCTCCTAAGGAAGCACTTGGAGCGTGAAACGCGTTGAGAGAGAATCACCATTCCTGCTGTAAGAAGAGGCATCTGTAGACGAGTACATGTTATATCAATTATGTTTGTCATGGCCATCTAGCCTCACATTATAACCCTGGAATGGTTATTTGGAGATCAATCTTTTTTTCTTTTTCTGTTTTGTAATGTGCACGTATCAATTATGTTTTAAAACATCTTTTAACCTTTGTATAATAAAATACTCTTGTTTTATCACGTGGTAATTTTTGGTCTTTGTCACTTAGGACCTAAAAAGCCCCACTTCTTCCCCTTATTTTTTGACTTGATACATTAGGGGTGTGGTACCTTTTTCAGAACCTGGTCACTTATTTGACCTAATCGGTGCACAGTTGTTGTGTTGATTTGTTTTTTGGGGAAAGGGGGGGGGGGGTGCCGGAACGGATCAGTGGCTCTGTCTTACGTCCTGCCCAGCTCACTGATGTCACTGGTTGCCAGGAGCTTGGGGGGACACAAGCCAGAGCGCCCCCAGTCAGCTCCTGGCAATTGGTGACTTCAGTGAGCTGGCCAGGAAGCCGCACAGAGTGTCATAGGTTGCTAAAAGCTCTTAGCTACCTGGGACGCTGTGACCGCCCCCCTGCCTCATTATATGTGAGGACCTAATCAATCTGCACCCAATCAGGCAGACCTCAATACATAGTTGTTGGGAAGATCAAAAGCATATTGTAGAATCAAATTGTAACCTATGTGGTGATCTTAAAGCAGATTGCAACATGTGTGGTGATCTGTACTCTTCTGCACTCCTTCCATAACTAGCAATAAAAAAATGTGTGTTCTCAGGAGCTGACCATATCCTGGCACTGGCAGCCCCATCGTGCTGAGGTTAATGGAATGGCAGAGAGTGGACATGAAAGAAAAGGCATTGTGAGTGGGGAGAGGAGCCAGGAATAGAGAGGCGTTATCTGCAGAGCAGGATGGAGGGGGAGACACAACACAGCAGACACACACACACTGCTGCAGCCAGTGAATGGCAGAGGAGGGACGGAGCATGTGTGACAGTGTCATGTAACCAGGGGCAACCACACAAGCACACAGCTCCCGGGGAGGCAGCCAGTGGGCAGGCACACATTCCCAACCTGAGATCTGCCATCAGACAGCCAGCTGCCCGTCTCCTTCCCGCTGCCTCCATTGTCAGCCTGAAATCCGAGCCGGAACCCAAAGGAGCCACAAAGGAGAGCAGGCAGCACACAGACCGCTCCTGGGGCTGATCCTCAGGCTTCCCGGGGACATCGAGGAGGAAGTGCTGGCTGCCATTCATGAATTAATCATCACAACTCAGCATGGGCAAATCCAACAGCAAGCTGAAGCCGGAGGTGGTGGAGGAGCTGACCAGGAAGACTTATTGTGAGTACCATGTGGGGGGCTGTGAGAGAAGGATTGGGGGGTGCACAGAGAAGATCTGATCACGGTGGAGGGCAAGGGAGGGTCTGTATTGGCTGACAGAGCTTCTAGGCGGTCTGGTAGCCATGGGCCACCGACCTGGGTGTGTGCAGAGGAGTGACTACAGCACGCTGACAGGTAACATTGTATCATGCACATGGAAGGCGATTCGGGGCTGATACATTGTAACCAAGTGCTGGGAAGGTGGCAACATGTGGCTGTTGTGGGACTACAAGTCTCAGTGTGCTCTGCTGGGTGAACGCTTTCTTGGGCTTCAAGGATCACTGGGAAGCCTGATCCTTTCCTATGATGGGGGATCTCTCTGTCAGTTTGTCATTGCTCTAGTTACCCTCCTTCAAAAGATGCACTTCACGGCATGCTGACCAAGTAAAAGGTTGGCTGGATATATTTTGGGGACCCCAAAAATGGTTGCAGTGTTCTGCTGGACTCACAAGCTCTACAGGTGGGAAATGGGAGATGGTTTTTCACCCATGAAACTGAATTATATTCTCTGGAAATGACATTTGGGATATATCAGATTTGTTGTGACCCTGAGTATATATGTATGTGTTTTGTGGGACCCCAGACGTCTGTATAACATTCACATGGATGTGTAATAGACCTAGAATGCGTGCTGTATACACAGTGTCCTGCAATATCAGTCTAAGCAAGAACAGGAACAGTTCCTGAAACTGATTGATTTCAGGGACATAATCTGTAAGCCTAGATCATAACATTAACCTCTAAATGTACCGTAATCACTGCAATGTCCCCCCACACTAAACTCTAAATGTAACCTCTGAATGTAACCCCTATACCTATCCCTTCCGCAAACCTCTAAATGTACCCCCCCATACCTAACCCTACCTCTGAACGTAACCCCCTATACCTAACCCTACCTCTAACCTCTGAACGTAACCCCCTATACCTATCCCTTCAGCTAACCTCTGAACGTAACCCCCTATACCTAACCCTACCTCTGAATGTAACCCCCTATACCTATCCCTTCAGCTAACCTCTGAACGTAACCCCCTATACCTATCCCTTCCGCTAACCTCTGAACGTAACCCCCTATACCTATCCCTTCCGCTAACCTCTGAACGTAACCCCCTATACCTAACCCTGCCGCTAACCTGTGTACACAGCCCCTATATCTAACCCTGCCGCTAACCTCTGACCGTAACCCCTATACCTAACCCTACTACTAACCTGTGAGTACAGCCCCTATACCTATACCGCTCACAATAAGGCGGCATTGTTTTTGCACGTTTGTAAGCGGGAGTTCAGCTTGCGATTGTTTGCACGTTTGGCACATTTTTCTGCATGACTGGCACCTCAAGAAACATTGCGGTCAATGGACGAATGTACGTACACACGAGCATAAATGTGCAACATACTTCTGCTGCGCGTTTTCTGGCGTATCCATTGAAGTCTTTGGGTGAAAAATTAGCATGAAACTGCCAAAAAAAGCTCAGGTACTTTTTTCTGCGTTCTGCATTTTGCTGCTCATGTGTAAACGGGGGCCACTGAAAATCGTGGGATTTCTTGTGTCGGACGTTTAAAAGCTGCTTAAAAATATCTAGGTGTAAACCGGGCTTAACCCTGCCTCTAATCTCTGTATGTAACCCCTATACCTAACCCCGCCACTAATCTCTGTATGTAACCCCTATACCTAACCCCGCCACTAATCTCTATATGTGACCCCTATACCTAACCCCGCCACTAATCTCTATATGTGACCCCTATACCTAACCCCGCCACTAATCTCTATATGTGACCCCTATACCTAACCCCGCCACTAATCTCTATATGTGACCCCTATACCTAACCCCGCCACTAATCTCTATATGTGACCCCTATACCTAACCCCGCCACTAATCTCTATATGTGACCCCTATACCTAACCCCGCCACTATTCTCTATATGTGACCCCTATACCTAACCCTGCCACTAATCTCTATATGTGACCCCTATACCTAACCCTGCCACTAATCTTTATATGTGACCCCTATACCTCTCAATGTAACCCCAATACATATCTTTACTACTAACATCATCTGATTGTAACCCCTATACCTAACCCTACCACTAACCTCTGAATGTAACCCCAATACTTATCCCTACCACTAACCTCTCAATGTAACCCCGATACTTATTCCTACCACTAACCTCTCAATGTAACCCCGATACTTATCCCTACCACTAACCTCTCAATGTAACCCCAATACTTATCCCTACCACTAACCTCTCAATGTAACCCTTATACTTATCCCTATCACTAACCTCTCAATGTAACCCCTATACCTAACCCTGCCACTAACCTCTCAATGTAACCCCATTACTTATCTTTACCACTATGATTGTAACCCCTATACTTAACCCTACCACTAGCCTCAACATAACCCCTATACTTATCCCTGCCACTAACCTCTCAATGTAACCCCTATACCTAACCCTACCACTAGCCTCTCAATATAACCCCTATACCTAACCCTGCCGCTAACTCATGAAAATAACCTTGTTAGCTAACACCTACCACTGACCTCTGAATGTAACCCCAATACTTAACCATACTACTGGCTGAGAACTCTTACACCTAGTGTTTAAACCTATCCCCTACTACTAATGCTTACTACAAAACCTTGGAACATAACCACATGCACGCTGACCATACCCTCTGCAGTAGTCTATAAGCTCTATAACGAACATCGAGCCTCCACAGACCCCAACACTAAACATACCATGCTGGGGTGTTTGTTCAGGTTTTCACTTGGTTCTCTGAAGATAAATGCAGGACCAGACATTCAGTGATTATAAATCTCATTGGTAAATGATCCTGAAGAATGGCTAGAGTGGTATTTACATTTGACTTGCCTATTATCATCATGGTGATAAATAGATGGCAAGCTTCTTGGCCATAGATCACCCTCTAAGCATGTGTTGTGTTCCAGAACTATATTTGCAGGGTATATGTTAGGTCTGTGTGTACCGATGGTGTGTAGTCTGTGCGATGCACTGCTGCAGTTTTTACCGGCGATCTTTTGAAGCTGTTGCATTGTGTGCTGTGTATACGGTGCCACAGACATAAGAAGATAATTGTCCCTTATAGAGCAGATGGCT